AGTACTGAAAAAAAAAAAAAAAAAAGACTGTAGGCCCAGGTGGAAGCTTAGGTATCTGGGGAGTGGGGACACCAGTAAGAATTTCGAAAGGCTGAACATCTCCATGTCTGTCCTGACAGTGAGGGCTCAGGTGCTGCTGGGGACACATGGGAAGGTCCAGCCAGGCTCCACCCCGCTATTCCCAGGACCCTTGGGGCTTCCAGCACCAACAACATCAAGGGAAGGCTCAATTCCAAACCCAAGAGTCTGGGAGGTACACAGCCAGGCTCTGGCATTCAGCAGGTGCCCAGGGTCTTGCTTAACCCTCTGGAAGAGCACACTCAGAGCCTCTGCAGGGATCCCAACTCTCCTCAGCCCCGCTCACCGGAAGGCCTTGTAGATGGGTCGGTACCAGCAGAGGAAGGCACAGGGCGTGAAGATCACAAACCACAGGATTGAGAGCCCAAAGTCTACTCCCCTGGAGCTGTCACCCGTGAACCAGGCCAGGCACGCGAGCAGGTTCAGAAACAGTGTCACTGAGTGCACTAGGAGGGGGAGGAGAGGAGACAGAGCTGCATGAGCCGAGGTGGCTCAGGGCTCCACTATGGGACAGACCACTCAGAGGGGTGGGATGAGGCCTGCTCCCAAATCATGGTTGCCCTGGTCCTCAAAACTAGGGGCCGAACTACATTCCCAAGGGGTGATGAGACAGCCCAGTCTCTGTGGGTGGCATGGTGAGGTGCAGGTGCAGGGTCTGTCCTCAGGGAATGAACAGTTCTCCCCTGGCCCTGATGGCCCACGGTGGCCTGACAATAGGGATGGCCTCCTTCCTCACCCTCAGAGCCCAGGCACCTGTGAGCATGGAGTCTCCCCTAAGGCAGGCACTCAGTGTGGGGAGCTCTGCAGACTCGGTGGACCAACTCTGCCAGCCTGGACTTGGGACGGATGGAGTTTGTGGAAGTCCCACCATAGGGAGGGGCACGCCATGCAAAGATAGTGCCTTGCAATTCCCTGTAGCATCCCTGAACACCAAGGAAGGGCAGGAGCAGGACTCACACATCCAGAGATAGTAGAGCATCTTGCAGATGCGCTGGTAGTCAGCAGGGATCTCAGTGGAGAAATCCTGATAGAAGCAGGGCTTGACTGGGCACCATGTGGGCAGGGGTGGCCAATTGTTCTCTCTCACTGTGTGGAAAGAGGGAAGAGGCAATGGGATGAGGGGCCAGCGTCAGGAGCAGCATCAAAGCCAGGCATGGGTGGTGCACGCCTGTCATCCCAGCACAAGAGAGGCTGAGGCAGGAGGATCACTGTGAGTTTGAGGCCGGCCTGGACTACAGAGTGATTTCAAGGCCAGACTGGATTGCACAGCAGGACCTTGTCTCAAAAAAAACAAACAATAAAGAAGCGGCAGCATTGCCCAGTGTGTGGGCAAACTATCATTCTAACAAGTGGTACTAGGGTCTTCACAGGACATGAAGTGGGACGTAAGAGGTAAACAGGACCCAAAGAGACACCCACAGGCTCTGTCCAAGATGACGGAGCCCAGATGCACTGGGAAATACAGAGCCAAATGACCCAGGGGATTACTTTTAAGATGATAAGCATGACAACTGAGGTCATAATCATGAGTAAGGAATTATGGGGACTGTGCCCCCATGTTATCAAAGAACCAAAGAACTTCAGCGCTGCAAAGAGAGCAGAAATGATCTATTGTACATCTATCAGGCCCACACTCTAAGTCTCCCCAGGTCTGGCTCCTTCCAGGGGATCCAGAGCTCCCTCAAACTCTGTGGCTGGAGAGGAAGGAAGTGGCTCAGGAACAGTGAGGAGGCCCTCTGTGCCGGTGAGGGATGCGCTCCTGGGCCCGGAGGTGGGCAGGGCCTTGTAGCTGCCCTTACCGTTCAAGCTGGCTGCCGTGCTCTGCAGCTCCCGCTCCTTGCGTTCTAGCTCTGCAGCTTTCCTGTCCAGCTCCTCCTGTTGCCGGAGCAGGCCGGCTTGGGCTGCAGCTGCCACAGCCTGGACGGACAAGCAGGGACAGCCGGACACAGAGTAAAAGGATGGTATCAGTCAGTCTCATAGGAAGCCAGGGGGAAAAGCCAGCAGCGAGGCTGCACAGAGCATCTCAGGCACCAGAGGCCACTCCAGAAGGGCTGAGGGACCCTAGATCCTCTGGTCCCTTAGATCTAGGCTGAATTAGTGATCGCTGCAGTTACAGCCAAAGGGAAAGACTTCAGAGCAGGCTACACCAAGGTCAGAAACTCTGAGCTGATTCCCTGGGAAGAGCCAGGAGGGGTGCGTGAAGTGGAGACAACGTGTGAAGCAGGAACAGGAACAGGTGCAGAGGGCACAGCCCTGGGGCCTGTATTTCAGCATCCACTGCCCTTTCTCTGCTCCCAGGCTGCCTGAATTATACCTGGCCACCCCCAGGGACCATCCAAGGCGTGGTCCTGCTCTGTGTGGGTTTCATGCAGAATCCAAGCTTTCTCTCCCCTACAGGCAGGGCAGGGTCGCTGAGTGAGACAGCCTGGGGACTTTTATGTGACCCAAAGCAGAACTGGGCCCTGGGCCCTGCTCCTGCTGCCACTGCCATTTGGGTCAGGTTCCTCTTCCGGAAACAGGTAGCACCCGGTCCCCTCCTGCGACAACAAACCAGGCACATGTGTGATACACACTCACCCCCAAAAGAGCTCTCCAAAGAGCTAACGCTGCCTTGGGAAGTGAACTGCTGTCATCACCGGTAGAAGCGAGAAGTGACCGCACAGTACCACACAGAGGGTCCTGGCCTCCAGTGGAGCAGCCCAGCCCCAGCTGCTCACGTCACCCTGCTTGGAAGGCTCGCTTCTCCTCCATGGTGCAAGGACACTGCTGCTGAGCACCTCCGGGGACCCGGCCCCTTCCTCCTCTACACTGGGCCTACCTGGGGGAGCGTTCGCAAGCAGCTGTCTCTGAGAACACTATCTCCTCCCAGCAGCATCTGCCTCTCTGCGAGTGTGGCCGCTGCCAGGAGCCGGGCCGACAGGAACTTGCTGGCCTGCCTAAGCAGGAGCTGCAATACACAACTCCGATGGGGGCTCGTGTGGGGCCACGGACAAGAATCGGTATTTCATGAAAGGACAAAAGAAAACAGGAAGGCAGGCAGAAATAAACAAGGCCAAAGAGAGACTGGGGCATGGTAGAGTGGTACAGTGTATGCTGAGCATATGCAAGGGCCTGGGTTCAATCCCCAGCACTGCAAAAACAAAACAAAAGCAGAGACAGAGACAGATAGATTCTGGGCCCCAAGTAAAACAATAAGCCAAAGGCAGTCCTGGAGGGGCACAACAGGGCAGATACTCTCTGAAGACACCAGGGACTCTATCCTGGTGAGTACAGCTGTTTTCCAGTGGTGGCAGTGAGGTACGAGTGGGGATAAAGCCATTTATGAGTTGGCAGAGCACCCTGTCCAACTGCAGGTGTCCAGCTCCAAAGAAATGAACAAGAGGGCACTGAAGTGGGGGGCCCTCTGGCCACCGTAGCCTCAGGGCTTGGCTGTGGACAATGACTCCTACACTGGACATAGGCCCCCAGGGCTCCGGGCACCAATACCTGGGGGCTTGGCTGCGTGGGCTCCATAGAGGGCTGGAGAACGGCTGGCTGCGAGGGCCCAGTCGGCTGAGTGGCGGGCACTGTTGTAGCTGCATTTGTCTGTGTGGAACAAATCATCATAGGAGGGTGTGAGGGGCTCTTCCCTGGGACCTACCCCGGCTTCCTCTGGGGCTTCCCAGAATGAGCCCTGGGCTCTGGGCAACATGACCCCTAGCCTAGTCAACCAGCCGGCCCCATGGGGTCCCCAGCATTCCAGCACAGCCCTGCCCTCCTCAGGGAGGGGACCAAATCCTGGGCCCCAGAGGACAATTCCAGAGAGCTCTGGTGACATTCCATCCACCTCCTGGCCCCAGCTGGCATCCCTCTAAGGACTGCTGGCCACCACCCAGAGGATCCAGGCTGCGGGGCCCATGGCTCACCGACCTCCGAGAAGGGGTTGAACTCGGACAGGCCACTCTGCGAGGGGTTGGTCAGCTGGGTCACAGAGGGGTCCTGCAAAAGTGGAAAAGAGGCGTGAAACAGTGGACAGCTGCAACCCCGGCACCCTTGCGTAGCCAGTCAGAGGTCTGGAAGCTGGCACCCCACGGTCAGGGGGCTCACAGCTTCATCCCCAGGGAGCAGGGGTTTTGGGGGAATGGGGTGAGTGGGATGGCAGAGGTAGAAACTATCTATCTGTCACCTTATAACCTCTGTATTGCTTTATTTATTGTGCTACAGAAAGCATTTTTCCTCTTACTTTTTAAAGAACAGTTTAAGGACTTGGAACATAGCATGCTACTGGCTGCCAGTGTGATGCATTAAACCAGGCACTCTTGCTAGAGAGGAGATGAAGGGCTCACGGGAAAAGCCAGAGAAATGTTTTATTTTGGGTTTTTTTGATAATTTTTTTTTAAAAATGCAAAAATGTCCTCAGCCTTGTCCTCAGTTTGCTTGTTTGCCTTTCTTTCTTCTTCCTTTTTTTTTTTCTTTCCTTCCTGACCCCCACTCTTGGTTCTTTCTGGCTGCACTGGGGCTTGAATCCAGATCCTTTGTATTGAGCTGCATCCCTAGCCCTATTTTTTACTTTGAGACACTGTCTAACTTACCTAGGTTGGGCTTGAACTTACGATTCTCCTGCCTCAGCTTCCCAGACTTCCGGGATTATAGGTGTGTACCATACATGCCCAGCTCTTGTTCCAAATTTTCAATCCTCTCTTTCTATGGTCCCTGCCCAGGACTCCTCCAGCCTCTTCTGCAGTATGTCCTCAGGCTTTCCCCTCCGCTACACATCCTCCCCTTTCTTACCACAGGGGTAGGGTTCAAATCCTGCTCCACAGCTGTGTCCAGATTCTGAGACGAGTATTCACAAAGAGGGCCAGGCTGCCACCAGTCTCTGTCCCTCACTCCCAGTCCCTCACTAGTCAACAAGGCATGGTAGCACACACCTGTAATCCCAGAATGCTAGGAGGCTGAGACAGGAGGGTCACAAGTTCCAGCCCAGCCCAGGCAACTTAAAATTCATAAACACAATGTCCGTGCTGTGAGGGCAAGAGGGTGAGGTGTCCACTGTCACTGCTCCTACTCTGTACTCAAAGCTTACATGCTTACAGAGCCATGAGACAAGAGAAAGAAAGAGAAGGAGCATGTGTAAGAAAGGAAGAAGTCAAACTACCCTTCTTCACAGAAGACCAAAAAAAAATCCACCACAGACTCCTTAAACTAATTACTAAGTTCAGCAAAGTAGTAGGATTCAAAATCAACACAAAAATCACCAGGGTTCTTGGACACCAACAATGAATCCACCGAGAAAGAATCTGGAAAACAATAACATTCACAATTGCTTCAAGAAAATTAAGTACAGTACAGTATGTCCCCAATTTACAAACATTCACGTGGTGAACTTTCACAGGTGTACAGGATAAGATTCACTCTGAACGAATCTGAGTTACGAACATTCTGGAATGGAACTCGTTTGTAAGTTGGGGACTTACTGTACCTAGGAGTTAACCTAACCAAGGAAGTGAAAGACCTCTATGATGGAAACTGCAGTACTCTGAAAAGAAGTTGAAGAGGACATCAGAAAATGGAAAGACAGGGCCGGGGATACAGCTCAGTGGCACAAGCGCCTGCCTGGCAAACGCAAGGTCCTGAGTTCAATTTCCAGTACCAAAAAAAAAAAAAAAGGAAAGACAGGCTGGGCATGGTGGTACACACCTGCAATCCCAGTGCTAGGGAGGCTGAGGCAGGAGGATGATTTCGAGTTCGAGACCAACCTGCCCTACAAAGTGAGCTCAAGGCCAGCCTGAATTGCACAGCAAGACCCTGGCTCAAAAGAGACCGAAAAAAAGAAAATGGAAAGACATGCCCTGTTACCAAATTAGGCAGAGCCAATGCTGTGAAAATGCCCATAGTACCATTTATATAATGCAATTCCAATCAAAATACCAGCAGCATTATTTTGAGAACTGGGGTGGGGGGGTCCTGACCACACAGCTGAACTCACTCTACGCCTCTGGACAGGGCTCATCCTCTGCAGCCCCCCACCCCGCCCCTGCGCCACAGACACGTGATTATGGCCTCTCTGCTGGGTGCCACCCTTTCCTGGTGGCTCCTACAATGGGGACAAAGGGACAAGGTGGGATTCAGGAGGCCACGTGAAGCTGGAGGATTGGTCCTAAGTCAGTTCATGGCCGACCAACAGCCGTTTCCACAAGGAATCACCTGGTCTCCTGCAGCGGAGACGTGGGACTCAGTATCTGTCCCTTCTTGGACTTGGTGTCATCTTGCCAGGTGGAGAAGGTGAACTATAGTCACTGAAACCAGACCCACCTGCCAGGGAACCGGTGACTCAAGTCTGAGTCACTGCGGGACATGGAACCCAGGGACAATTCTGGTGGCAGTTTCAGGTGCTAGCACCCAGATACCCGGCCAAGGTGCACACCTGTAGGCTGCTGGTGAGATGTCATCTCCTTCATGGCAGCCAGGAAAGGGATCCTGAGGTTGAGGTGAAGATGAGGGGGTGACACCCTGTGCACATGAACACCCCTTCTTTTCTTTGGTAAAGTCACAAAGGCTTGTCCCTTGGCCCTACCATCCCCATCCTGAACATGTCCTGTCCCCATGCAAGCTGGGGACCTCTGTAGCCAGACCATCAGGTCTAGGCCATCCTTTGGCCCCTAGGGACAAACACTGCAGGCTGTAGGGTCTGTCCATTCTCTAGGAAGCACTGATCCACAGTAGGGGACTGCAGTCCAGCGGCCCAGGGCTCAGAGGTACCCAGCCTGAGAAGAGGAGCCCAGCCGCTCTATGAAATGTTGGGACACCCCATCTGAGGAAACTGGGCTCCCCTGACAGCTGTGGGGGGAAAGGGCAGGAGGCACAGGGACGGGGGAGATGACACTTGCCCGCCTCCTGGGTACCAGCCTCACCACACCACAACAAGGCTGTGAAACTCCAGTCACCCAAACGTGGTCACTGGGCCAACCTGTCAGAACCCAAGGTTCCAGTCTTCCCCAGCCTGGCTCTGAGAGACACAAGCCTCTGCCCTATGGAAGCCACCATCTGCAGTGACTTCACTTCTCTCCTGTACATCTGCAGTGGACTCGTCCTGTCCCACCCCGGAGCCTGTGTGTCCTGTGATTTAGGGAGGGACCCATTAGAGAAGGGCAGCCACATGCCTCCTGTGGCACCCTCTCGAAGATCTCAGGCATGCAGCTGAGCCATTCTGTCTGTCCCCAGGGACACAAGATGGTGGCTGAGAAAGCAAGGCTGCCCCACACCTGGTCCAGTGCCTGGCAAACAGGAGGGGCCTGACCATCATGGCAAGCTAGGAACAGACCCCACTCCAGAAGGGCACTGGCCAGGGACTTCATGGAACTGTTCTTGGGGATGTCACTGACAAAGACACACAGACAGAGTCTCTCAAACAAGGGCCACTCCCAGGGGCCTGGTGAGGACCATCAGATGACAGGCGGGCAGTGGGCAGCACCAAACTCTGTGCCACTCACTGGGCATTGCCTGGCTCGTAAGTGGGTTACAGAGCTATCTACTACAAGGATGGCAAGGGCTAGGTTTCACCTACTAAGAAGTAACCTTAAACCCCTCGGCCATGCAGACTGCCACATGCCCTTTACTGAACTTACAATGAGCAAAAAGCTTCGCAATTTACTTCTATTTTTTTGGTTTGTTTTTAAGACAGGGTCTTGGTACGTAGCCCAGGCTGGCCTCGAAGCTTCCATGATCTTCACTGCTCAGCCTCGCAAGGGCTGGGATGACAGCTGTGCGCCACCACGCCTGGCTAATTTAGTTCTTTTCATTCAGCAGTCACCGTGAGTCAGGACACACTGGAAGCTGAGACAAGCAGACACACCCCACGAGTGTGCTGGCGACCGCAGAGCCATGATGGGGGAGGAGAGACCCCAGAGGGCTCTGAGGAAGGCGGGTTTCCCAGAGAAAGGGAGGAAAGCCGCCAAGGCCACGAGGCAGGGGAGTACTTCCGGCCAGCTGAGGAGAACACAGGCGGGCTGGTACTGCAGCGCTGTTCACAGGGCCCTGAAGTACGCTTGCTTTCATCATTCTGCAAATCTTTAAGCATTTCCTGGGACCTACAAGGCCTGGTCCTGATGACTTTTCCCTGTTTTGGCATGTTGTACTCTCAAAAGGAGGTCGCTGAGGACGCCAGTTTCTATTACATAGGATGGGGTTTGTTAAAAGTTGTCAAGAAAGTTGGGTGTGGTGGCCCATGACTGTAATCCCAACACCTGGAAGGCTGAGGCAGGAGGATCACTGTCGGTTTGAGGCCAGCCTCGGCTACAAAGTGAGCTCAAGGCCAGCCTGAACTGCATAGCAAGACCCTGTCTCAAAAAGACCAAAAAAAAAAAAAAAAAAAAGTTGTCAAGAATAAGGCCTATTTTAAGAGATACCAAGTGAAGTTTAGGAGAAAAGGAGAGGGCAACACTGATTACTATGCTTTGAAATTCTTGGTGATCCAGGACAAAAATAAGTATATCACAGCTAAATACAGGATAATAGTTCATGTAACTAACAGAGCTATCATTTGTCAGATTGCTTATGCCCATGTTAAAAGGGATATGATAGTCTACACAGCACATGTACATGAATTATGAAAATATGATGTGAAAGTTAGCCTAACAAATTATGCTGTAGCATAATATACTGCCCTGCTGCTGGCCTGCAGGCTTCTCAATAGGTTTGGCATAGATAAAATCTATGAAGGCCAGGTAGAGGTGACTGGAGATGAATACAATGTAGAAGGCACTGATGGTAAAACTGGTGCCTTCACCTGCTATTTGGATGCAGGCCTTGCTGGAACTGTAACTGGCAATAAAGTTTTTGGAGCCCTGAAGGGTGCTGTGGATGGAGGATTGTCTATCGTTCACAATACCAAACGAGTCCCTGGTTATGATTCTGAAAGCAAGGTGTTCAATGCAAAAGTACATTGGAAGCATATCATGGGTCAGAACATTGCTGTTGGGTGTGGTAGCTCATGCCTG